CCGGATTACTAACCTGAGCTTCCATCCAGGTCGGTGCTCTTGAGGTTTTTGGCTTCCAGGATGACCACGGTTAGTTTGCTGGATGTCGGAACGTAACGCAGAGAGAAGCAGATCTCACCGAGGTTCTCCTCCTGGATTCAGAAGAAGTAATCGGGTGACGTTCAGATGGCTGCCGACTGCCCGAAGACAGCTGAGATAGGCTCCGGCCCAAACCACGACCCACAGGAGGATAAGCGCTTCAGACTTGGAGTCTCAACTAGGTTCAGGTTGTCGCTACCTTATTTTCACTACCAAAAGGCACACTTAAAAGTCCCCAAAATGGACGGGGCGCCTAATCATGCGGGTGGCCTTGTGTGCGTTCCAAAATCTGCGAATGCTGTTATGCGACTTCGATGAGGGGTCCGCTTGACCGACTGTTGTTGTGCCGACACGCCGGTTAGATCGAGGAAAGGCGGATGTCACTGAGAGGTGCCATTTAATACGGTGCGCCGTACGGTCGTGAAAATACGGGAACGAGAACTAGGCTTGGGTTGAGGTCTGACCTCCATGTCGGCAGGCTCGTTGAGGTCCCTCCACTCCTCGATGACGTGATTCCAGTCTACTTGCCCGAGTTTTAGGCGCAGTTCTCCAATGATGTCATGTTTGGAGAAGCGGTCAAAGTCGAAAACTTGAAGTACAGCCGTCGACTTCATCAAATTGGCCTTGGAGATCTGACAACAAAACAACAGAGAGATTCAAGCTTGAACGACACTTTGCTTCTCGTCTCCTTTTGTACATCAAGCGACGTCGGACCACCTCAGAATCGGGGCCGACATGCTGGAGTTCATGTCCCAGACTCCCCAAAGGCGAACGGCGTGTCTTCTGGTCGTACCTGGAAGGTGAAGGTCTCGTTGAAGGTGGCGTTGAGCGTGTTCTTCAGAACTTTGGTCTCACAGGTCTTTGTCTTATCGGGCAGGAGGTAGACCTTGACGTAGGGGTCGGAAGTTCCTCCCACATCCATGGCCTTCAGGCCGCTCGCTTGCTTCACGCCCACCATCAGCTACACACA